AGAATCACATTTAGGAAGACTTGAGTACAACCAACTCAGGTGACATTAAGTGCCCTCAGAGGTTCTAAAGCCTCACGCTCACTAATCTAATATAGTTTCTCATCTTCCCTTCCTCTTCCCAGCAGACAGCTGCTTAGCAGAAAGACAGGTAACAGAAGCATTTAACAAATTAAGTTATTCTACTGTTTAAAAAAAAAGGGTAACAGTGCTAAAGAACAGTGATGCTACTGCTATCCTCTTTTGACCCATTAATTACACCTAGCAAGGTTTTCCCCTAATTGCCAACAGATTTAGCAGGGTGTTTAGGAAATGAGTATTTTAAAATATAAAAAGTGGAAGTGTCAAACTTACTCAATGAGTGGGGCTCCATATAGAACAAAAATCACATGGAAGGAGAAACAAGACACGAGAAAGTAGATACAGCATTTCAAAAGTCTGGTTACCTGGAAGAGAAATCAATCATGTGAAGACTGGAGAGAATGCCTGAAGGCCAATACATTTTTCCATTTCACCTACAAATGACAGCTCTTTGTCGCAGACCTCAAGTCAAACCACAAGGCTAATGCAGAGTCACACACAGCTCTCACTACATCTATATAAAAGCCTAAAAGGCAAATTCACCCACGCCAGTATTCTACTGACCTAAACAACATGAGAATGAAAAGATTTTCGTTTCTAAGTTATTGAGTTATTTCATTAATCAACATTTGTGAAGTATTTATTGCTAATAGAATATTAAAGATACAATGAAATCCTGGCATGTACCACTACACATGAAATGTCTGCAGGAAAGAAAATTTTCTTCATTTAAACTCCTGGGAAATTGCACTGGAAAAGTGAAATCTCAAAACTTTTCCAAATCACATTCACTTTACTGTGTGACCCATAAAAAAAAAAGACCTGCATATCTATTAATAGGCTCATGTGTGGGAATTACTAGATTTGGGTTTTAAGACAAAATTATAAAACATATATTAAGTTTTTTAAAGTAAAAGCAGTAACAGAGAGCTTATACATAGTATAGAATGTGACTTTTTAATTAAAATAATAGTCAAGTGTTATAGTACAGCGAATATTCCATAAAACTGATTCTAATAGCTGGGAAGTTTTACTTGCTTAGTCAGG